TTATGCCTTTTCTAATTTTTCGATTGTACAATCAGGAAATTAACCATATCCTGAAAATTTTGAAGTCGTTCTGATGTTTACTGAGTGATTAGCGAATTTTTTAATATTAGGTGAAAACAGCCTGAAAACACAAATTTTCGTAAAACTCGCTTTTCGGTAGAATTTTAAAACTTTTCTAAAAACAAATATTGCCACGAGACGCAGCGTGGTCGATTACGCATAGTTCATCTGTCCTGAAGGCTACCAATCGTCACTGGGTGCCAATCCTGGGATTCGTAGGAAATCCGATACAACGCCCGAAGCGTGGAAAATCAAGGTCTCACTTGACTCTCAATTTGAAAAGGACACTCTGGGCTATCAGTCTGTGAAAACAAATCAATACAATCCTATTGGAAAATTTTTACACGCGAGCTAATTTTCCAAAGATCTCCTGGAAAACCTGTTCCAGAAAGCTCTTCTGGGAAAATTTTTGATTATGAAAACATGTCCCCAAGTCTCCTCTTTCGAATGGTGAAAATTGAAGTTCTTTAGCTTTTTCCTATCGAAAGTTATTCAAAAAACAGTCATATACCATTCTTTTTTTGGATGGACAATAAGAAGGCGGTTGAAAAATTAATAAATATAATATTACACTTTCATATCGTTCGTGACCAATGGATTATGGATGAACCATTTACTTGTGAGCACTTTTCAGGAAATTCGTACGTCATAAAAAAGCCCATTCTATCTTGTTTGGAAAGGCAACACTCTCCTAAACATTAATCGACAATAATATGTTTCTGAAACGTTCTTGCACAAAAAATAAAACCTAAGAAAATTTTCCATTTTGTCATTCAAATGTCTTCATCAAAAACTGATGGAACAGAAAAACGTTTTTTTATCAATCGATAGCTTATGCAATTATCTTTCTCTCAAAAGTAAGCCCTTTTTTATCACATTCTTCCTTCTCTATTTCGAACCATTCTACAAATGGGTCATGGGTGAGGTAGGTAAAGAGTTAAACAAACTTCAAATTGGACTATATGCCGTGTGAAGTAATGAAGTTAATCTCTAGTTAGAAAATCAGTCAATCAAAAAAATAAATTTTTGTATGAAAAGGAATATCTATATATAATGAACATGACGTTTTCATAGTAAAAATCAAATAATTATACTTGTTGATATTCTAGTCGTTTGCCTTTTGGCCATTCAACTACATACTCGAATGTTAATTTTACTTCCTCTTTTGCCAAAATTGTTGCTATCCATTCAAGATTGTTATCGTCTGTTAGTTTTGTTATGTAGTTATGTTTATTGTCATGAGACGACATTTCGCCTTGTTGCTTTATTTGAGGGGTGATGAGTTTAACTTTTATCTTTTCGTCACTCGACAATGGTAATTGATCATACACATAGACGGTTATTTCAACGAGTTTTGTATTTTTAATTATTGTTTCATGACGTACATTTTCGTGATTGACTTTCGATATGTAACCTTGTGTTTCATTTATTTTTCGTACAGGTTTATAATTGATTTTAACACCATTGTCTGTACCCAAAAATAGATCAAATTTTTCTTGGGGACTCACGTTATCAATGACACTGTGTGTAATAAAATTATGATCCATAAAAACGTTGATTGGACCGACTAACAATTGTTTATCCGATGTATTTAACGTGGTTGCTTTCAAATAGGCATATGGTGAGAGTTTTGGAATAGCTGTATAAGTGAATTTAGATTCAAGATCTAACACACCGATAGTCACTTTATGTGGTTTTCCATCTGCTTCAATTGTAGCTTTACGAGGAATAACAAATGTTGAACTACTCAAACTAGTTTCAGTCCGACTAATCAGAACATTCAATGGCAATTCTCCATATGAATCCTCAATTGTTGGATCATAACTGTGAACGTCAATAGACGTGGATAGCATCAAACTTTGGTTTACCGAACGGTTTATCGAACGAAAACTCTTACTATGACGGGTTTGTTTATACCTTTCATCGAAATTATCGTACGTATTGTAATTAACTTTCATTGTTCCTAACTTTGGAGGACTACCACCTAGTGAAGGAGTAGCTGTACTTAATGAAAATAATGCGTCTATCCAATTCTCATTACTCTGATTTGTGATAATACCATAATAGGTCAGTTGAGTTTTTCCTGCACTTTCACTACTAACTCGAACATCGTAACTCGCCTTCCATGAACAATTGAGAATAATGTAAGATATTTCAAGGACAACATCACATTTAGCAGTTACGTACAGAGAAATAGTGACTTCACGATGAACAATTTGAGTTGTGTTCTCATCTCCTGTCGTATACGATTCCAGTTCTCTAGCTAAAGAATTTCGTTTTACTCTCAACGTTTTTAGCTCCTTTTGTTCTTTTGATTTTCTTTCATCATTATTTTTTAACATTTTACGTTGAAAATCAAGAAAACGTTCAATATCCATTAAACTTTCGCTTGACAATGGATTTATCTCACCACTTCCTTTTTCCTCTCTGCTATTCATGCCTGTTAGTTTTTCAACTCTGGCATTTAACCATTTTCTTCCTTCATCAATTCGTTGTAATTCTTCATTATGTTGCTCAATTTGTTCATCTATTTCGTCTATTTTTTGGTGTAATAAATCTTGTTTTGATAAATCGTTCTCATCTACAATTTTTTTTTCATATCGTGTATGATAGGATACTTCAAGAATTGTAGCTTTTCCTTTTCCACCTGCTACATGAATAGAATTTTGATCAACATTTGGCGAGAGACCGCCAAGAATAAGTTCATATGCACCATCTTGTTCAAATGTTTTGTTTAATAAACGAGTTGTTTCAGCACAATCATTGTAAACGGTAACGTTTCTCACTGGACACTCTTTTTCCGTATTTATACGAATAACAGAAGGAGTTATATTAATTGTAGCATTTGTTGTTGTTAATGAAGTCATTTAAGTTTTTGAACGTAAGTATCGAATCTAAAACGATAATGAAATTAGTAATAGTTTAGTCTTTATTCTTAAAGATCATTAATCAGTAAAAAAAGTGTAATGTCATTCATAGCAGACAACAGAGATAATCATCACTTTTAATTTCATTCATCTTGTTCACATGTCACAAATTTGAAAAAACAAAAAGTGATTAATAAAATGAAAATCTCCATTTACACGATAATGAGACAAAAGTGTAAAATCTGTTTTATGATATATTGAAACTTTTATCTAACTTATTTTTCGTTAATTCATATTTAGGATTATTAGTCATTTGAATAATAGTGCTTGCTATACAAAAAATAAAGAAAAACAACACATTCATCATAACAATTTTTCCGTGCTTTTCCGTTCGCCTCATTTTTATTATTCTTTTTTGAATAATTACTCAAATATATAGTCTATCGCAGTTTGTCAGTCAGAGAGAAAAACAGAACAAGAAAAAAAGAATGATATTTTTAACGTGTGTCTAGTTACACATTTTGCATTACACAATATTGCGAAAATAAATGATTCATATCTGTTAAATAGACTATATAATTGTGTCAGAATTGATCTGCAATTGTTATATATCTTTTAAACGATATAATTAGTATAAAACAAAAACGTATCAACGAAACAAGGCACAAGAGTACGTGACGACGTAAATTCAAATATGTTTTTATAAAATTACAACTGCCAGAGAATCTAAGTACAAAGCTACAGCGGCCTAAATAATCAATTTCACCAAAAAAATCTTGCCTTTGAAGCAATAAATAAGAAATGCCTCTTATCTCGGTAACGGAAAAGACCTGAGCAGAGATATTTTCGAATTAGTCATGTCCTTATGCTAATAAGTAACTTGCAAAAAAGATTTTCCTTCAACTCGTCTGCAAAAAAACTCCAGTCAAATCTATTTCGACTCCATATGATTTATATCTTTGTCTGAATTTGTAACATCCTACAGTATATTTATATTTCTACTGAAATGTATGTCAGCTTAGAACTTTTGTGAATTAGTAGATTTCAAAACTTTTAGGTTTTAAAGATTTTGACGAACTTTGTTTGTTGTACTGTCAACTTCCGTTGTCGTATGCTTTTCGTACAATATATTTGCGTATGATTGGAATGGACCATCATTGCATCATGGTAAACTAGATTAGGATCAAACGTAAAAGATCATAGTAAAGATCTATTAAGAAATGTCATAATAGTGATACAGAATGCATTCATTTTTTACATATCTGTAATTCATATATATGACCCATTGTATCGTTGTATCCGGAAAAGAAAAGCTTAAATATCTCTACTCTCCCTGAACCGATGCAAATAATCCTTTACCGGCGTGTATATGTGGCTTTAGCCGAGAGACTACTAAACACTTTTTTATGGACTGTGCTCTTTATTACAAGTCTCGTAATTTAATGTTTGAGGAGCCGCATATTGTCCTTAAAGATAATCATATTACATTGGAGCATATACTTTTGAAACATGAATCTATCCGAGTACTGCCGAAGCAGGATCTAATACAACTGTAAACAGCCATCATCCACTTTATTGATACCACCGGAAGATTCAATCAGTCATGATGTACTAAGCCTCCATGAGCTGAATATCACAGGGATAGAGCGGGTGTTAGAGGTCGATTCTCATTTCTCTCTCTCTTCACCAATACTACTAAAATCTCTCTTCTCTATATACACAATTTATTTTATAGTGTTCATGTAGAACCCGGCATAGAATGGGGTATCCCGATTTGCCGTATATATGTTCCTTTTGTTTGTTTGAACTTTGTTTTTCTTTTACTATTATTTCGTAAATAAGAAATGTTTAAACAAAAACCAAATAATCCTTCTTCAATTTTTGCTCCTTGAGGAACTTCCTACTTATGTTGAAAAAGTGAAGGTTCAGTCTGACAACGTTATAGAGAAATGATCCTTGAAATCTTCGAAAATCCAAATTTTAGCGTCACCTATCTTTAGTGTCAGTTTTTATTTTATCGATTCATTTCTACAGTCAGAATTGTAGAGTTCATCAAGATCGCTCAGAATATGTGCTTGCTTTGAATTTTTAATGCACTTTTAGTCCGAAATCAATGCCAAAACCAATTTATCAACATTTTTGAATTTTTTGTCTAATGAGACAACAAAAAAACAGTTTTCTCAGCGATGTTTGGAGATAAATAGAAATTGATTAGGCTGAACGAAAGACGATATAAAAACACACATTTTAATAAAAGAAAGTTTGTACTTGCACTCTTTTTTCCCAGCGAAAAATGCAACGCAATTTCAAAAAAAGATGATTTTCATATTAGTTGTCCAGTGAGATTTTGTTTTTTATTTTTTTCTATAGTTCCACTCAGACTGAATATTTTCACTTGAAAATTTTTTAAAGAAGACAGAGACCACGACGTTTTATCTGTGATAGAAAAACCAGTCAAATATTTCTTTTGGTCATAGAGAAAAATTAAAAATACGTTTAGTTGGATATATAAATATGTTTAGTTGGATTTTGTGAAACTCTTCCTATATCTCCGAAAGAAATAGGAGTTGAAATTTACACTCGAAAACCCTTGATTTTGGCCATTTTTTAAATCTTCCTCCCCTGGTGGTCACCTCGTCTCAAACTATTCAACAATTTTTTGAGGAGTTTATATATGCCTTGACAAGTTTTTATTGTTTAAAAATGTCCACTCAGAGAAAAGTACGAATATCTCCAGCAAAACCGAATAGAACTTTGACATATAATACAACAAAATGTTCGTCTTTGTTAGGCCAATCAATTGATGTGGTATAGTACGAGCTATTTTTACAAGTTTTAGATAAAAAATGGGTGAAAAATCGACTACAAGTTGGAAAAGGAAAGGAAAAGGTTTTTTCCACTTCCATGGACATAGCAAGAGAGTTGCAACAAGAATGAAAAGATGCTCTATTGAATTTTCAGTTAGTCCTAGAACGGAGAAGGCTTGGTCATTTTTACTTTATGCCTGGAAAGTCCTAAAATGGGAGACGGGTATCCTTAACATAGATGTATAAATAACCCTATTTCTGAAGCACAAGTATAACTATTAAAATAAAAAAACTGAATAGTATCAAAACTGAACTGGAGCAATAGCAAAGCAAGCTTCTCATACCGTAGTTATTTTAATTTTTACTTCGTCGCTTCTTCAATACATCTAAGAAATGTTAATTAAGCAACGATACAGATTTTCTCCAACTTTCTCAGTTCAATCTATGAAGGTTATAGTAAAACCAAGATGAAGAAAATAGTAAAGATCACGATGAAAAATAAAGTGATAAACGATTGATTTGATCGTCATCAAATAGAAGGCAATTTTCATTTTTTCAAAGAGATCAGAAGCCCTAGAAGCCTAAAATCGTATGCATGATATATATATATATAAAAATCTAAAATCTACTTTGGTGTGGATTGTAATTATAAGCATTATCCTTGATTTCACAGCGTTATTGAGTTATTTCTCACTTATGCATAATGCATGTTTAGTAAATATAGATTTATATTGTATAGTCAATACTCTGAATGTCTATATTTTTAATATTAGTATGAATATATTTGTTTTCTACAAAAAGATTTAGAAAAATAAAAAAGCAGTTTTGAGATCATTCAAAAAAGAGAGAAAACTACCATATTTTTAAACCACTTTATGTAGTTACAAGCATGACGTTATCTGCACTTGTCAATTCTTCGGTTGTACTCATATAAACACGATTATATTTCAATGGTCCCATTCGATAACCAGAATGTAATCTATACAGACAAAAATGATTTCATTTACGATAAATAACATCTTCTAGATAAAAAGACTTACCTTGAAAATGGAAATTTTTGATGTCGATAAGCGTACACAAAAATAGCAGTGAGTAAAATTATAAATAAACAAGCGATAAAAATAGTGATGTACAATGGGACAGATTTTGGTGGTAATACTTTTTTGTTGGTACAATTTAACGGTTGATTGAAGTCAAGAAATAAATGAGATGTTTGTAAATCATCAATACAACTAAAATACATAGAAATAATCTTCAATATTCATCAATGCAGCAAACAATTATTACCCTCGTAGAAAACACAGTGACTATTTTTCAGCTAACCATGACAATAAATGTTTTGTGCTAATTTATTGTGCAACTGTACAATGTCTCTTTTCAATCAACGAAATCTTTCAACAAAATGTTTTTTTTGTCAGAAATCAACCGAGTAATGCCAGAAACAAAACTCATTGAGTGAAAAGGAGTGAGACCGTTTTGCATCGATTTCTATCCATTGTTTTTTGTTTTAATTTTAATGTAGTTTTATAGAAAAAATAATTTTACACATTATGAAGTTCGTCTAAGTCGTTGGAACCTTGTAGAAAATTTTCTAAATTGATTTTTCTGAATTGATGCATCAGGATGCTAGTGATCGATTCTTCTCTAAATCCAGAATGAAGTTAGAGTAACGTTTCATATAGAAAAATAGCCCATGAAAAACTGAACAAAATAGTATATGAGCCATCGTTAGGTAACAAATCCCTAAAGTGAAATAGTTCGCTTTCAGGCGTCTCGTGTGCCGTGATAATGAATGGGTGATATGTTTAACTACTTTTCTCTCATAAACAAGAGAGGATACAACTGTATTCTCAAACTATTCGAAATCGTTTGAAAATACATAAAATACTGTGCAGTCTGAATAGTGTTCACATTTTCATATTTGTGTTGAATGTATCTGAAATTCTACACTCAACAAGAACATACAATGAATAACGAAAATATTTTGTACGTCGTTCCAGTCTTATCCAAAAAAATGTTCACTCTCAGCTAGTCTTTTCTCTTATCGCCATATAACTGGCAAATTTTCCAGGTCCGCGCTTGAACTATAGCGGATCGAGCCAATAATATGTAGTCTTCATTCACTCGGGATGTTTTAAAGCTTTTCAAAAGCTATCTTTCTACACCAATGACAAGTTGTATTTTCTCTTGTTTATGAGAGAAAAGTAGATAAACATATCACCCATTCATTGGTGTAGAAAGATAGCTTTTGAAAAGCTT